CCTTCACATGGGTCACAGTTCTCTCAGAGTTCTCTCAGCCCCACCAGCTTCACAGGGTGTCTGTTGTGGGGAGAAAAAGGGAAGGCGATTGTAAGCTGCTCTGAGACTCTTTCGGGTCGTGAAGAGCGGGGTATAAAACCAACTCTTCTTCTTTTCTTCTGTGCAAACTATAGCTGGCATTGATTGTCTGTTCCAGGGGTCCCCAACGTGGTGCCTGTGGGTGCCACTGGTACCTGCCAACACCTTTCATGGTGCCCGCCAAGTGTTTTTAACAAAATGGGCGGGTCCAAGTAGGGCTTTTGCCCAGCAAGACTTCTGACTGGTTGTGGAGACTTTTAAAAATGTGACTTCGGCATCAGCTGCCACCACATGAATCTTTGCTGTGTGACGGAAGGTAAGCTGGGGCAACCACTTTGTGGCTGGGTCCACTATGCTGTGTCGGAATTCCAAAGGTGCCCGTAGGCTCAAAAAGGTGGGCGGCCCCTGGTCCATTTCAGATGTTAGGTTCCAGAGACAGACTGGGCATTTTGTTTCTTTACCAGCTGCCTCGTCCCTCGTGTCTCATCTGGCAGAGGTAATCTTGGCATTGGTGCTGAAGACACCCCGATTCTGATTGTTCTGGATGACTGCAACATTCACAGCTGATGGCACCTTGCCTGGGCTTGCTCAGGATTGCACAGCCTTGCTGGTCACAAGGAGTCTCTCTCAACTTATGAGAGGCCCCACAAATAACAAAAGACATCCCTTAGGCTTAATTTTTTGCACTGAATCTTTAGGGGGAAGTCTGCTTTGGGGAGTCAAGGTCCAGCCTGTGCTCTCATCTGACCACTGCCTCTCAAGGCAGAGATGAATGTGGCACTGATGCGCTGTAGCAATGAAGGGTCAGTTAAAACATCTTGTAGGCTGTTCGATACCCACCGCGGCCAGGGTGAGCACCCGGCCCTAGTCCCAGCTCCCGCCCACTCAGCGGTTCGGAAGTCATAACAACTTACGAGTAGATAAATGGGTACCTGCCTTAGAAGGCAGGGAGCACCCTCCTCCACTGGGAGGTGAGGTGGGAACCTCAGCAGCGACGGTTCGGCGAGCGGCGGCAGCAGCGGAGTGGCGTGTAATGGCGGCGGTAGCTGAGGCGGCAAGCAGAAGAAAAAGGAGACACAACATCTAGCGGTGAACCGGCGGCGAAGGCGGAGCCCAGAAGGCATGAGGACGCTTAGCGCAGCGGAGCCTGAGGGACAGAGCCAGTGCCGCGCCGATGCGATCAGCACGACGAATGGGCCCGCCAACTCCAAAAGATCTCCCGAGGAGCCTGAAGAGAGCGGAGGGAAGATGCCGACCCGAAAGCCGAGAAGCCGAGACGAGCTGAGGACACGTCAACTGAATCCCACCGGGTGCCGTTAGGTAGTCCCGCCCCTAATACGATATATATATATGTGCCCATCGATAGGGACAATACAAAAAAAACTATGTAAGCCGCTCAGAGACCCATGGGAGGGGTTCGAGCAGGGTAGAAGTTGAAGGTAAATAAATAAATAAATAAAATGGTCCACCTGCAGAGAATAATGGATCCAACTGGTTTCCGGAATGCCCTGGGGGACTTTATGGTCCCATCTAACAGCTCATAGAGGATGGCCTATCAGTGGCTACTAGCCATGGTGACTGAGGGGAAACTCCCCTTTCAGAGGCACTAAACCTCTGAATTCCAGAGCCAAGAGGCAACATCAGGGGAAGACCTCGACCTCTATGCCCTGTTGTTGGCTGTCCAGGGGAACTGGTTGGCCACTGTGTGAGACAGTACCCTGGACTAGAGGGACCACTGGTCTGATCCAGCAGGGCTCTTCTTACGTTCTCTGTTGAGATTGCGGAGTGAACCTGGAATGAGAACTCTTGGAAGCTATCAACAATGTTTGCCCCCATCAACCTCTCCCACTCTTGAGGTGAACACTAGTGCTCTGGTACACTACAGAGCTCGGGGACTCGAAGGGGGCTGGGTCTAGAGCTGCATTGGCACAGAACCCAAATAAATCAGAATGTGCTACAGAGCTCACTGAAAGACCTATGAGGATTTCTGGCCACTGTGTGACAGAAATACCACCTGGTATTTCTGGCCACTGTGTGACACAGAGTGTTGGACAGGATGGGCCTTTGGCCTGATCCAACATTGGCATCTCTTATGTTCTTATGTAGGTGGTGACGGCGGCAAAGAAATCCTACTCTGCTGCTACCATTGCACCAGCTAGTTTATGCCTCGCTCGGGTTTTTAAAGGGATTTTGCCACTTATTGCCCCCAAAGTCTGAGCCTTTGAATGCCCAAGAAGTGATTATTAGCTTTGATGCTTTTGCAAAGGGTTTTTTTTTAAACAGAAAATCTCTCAAATGTGTTTTAATTAGGTTGCAATACAGCTGAGACATTAGAACACTAGTACACCATCTGGTGTGTTCATGGATCATTTTGATCCGGCCATGGTGATGAATGCCAACAGGATCCTGAGATTTGTGGAGGTCACCACTTGCACACTGGATCCTTATCTGTCCTAGCTACTGAAATCATGTAAGGATCACAACAATGAGTCCCTGATGTCCATTATAAATCTGTCACTGACTAAGGGCACCTTTCTTGGTCTTTAAAACAGACCGACATCTGTTTGCTACTTTAAAAACCAGTGACAGAAGAGAATTATGTGGCCAATTATCTCCCACTCTGTAATTTAATCTTTCTTGGCAAGATGATCGAGAGAGGACATTACAGTATGTCATGGCTTTAGACAGGTTTCTTTTGTTTGTTTGCATTGCTTTCCAGTTCTGTAAACCTAGTCCTACTGCATTGTTTATTGGAGGTGTTATCCAGGGGCATCGAACTCATTTGTTATGAGGGCCGGATCTGACATAAATGAGACCTTGTTGGGCTGGGCCATGTGGGTCATAAAATGTAATGCCAGGTAGCGGAGGTATAAACTTTATAAAGGACACAAACGAAAAGGGGTCTTTTTTTACTTAAAATAAAAACATGCTCAAAACATTAGCACTCTTGCAATATTTTGTTTATTTAACAATGTCTGATAACGGACACCTCTTGCTCTGAATTCTTGCATCAAAATGTCTGTGCTGTGGCAATCTTGAGTATGCTGTTCAGGTGTTTATCTGTAAGCTGCAAACCTACAATGATGCAGCAGCAGCAGCAGAACTGGAAGAAGTAGCAGCAGACAGCCAGTTCCACTGCGGGCCTGATAGAAGCCCTCTGGGGGCCTGATCCGGCCCCCAGGCCGCATGTTTGACACCCCTGTGTTATGCTGTCTGATTAAATTTTTAAAATATTTTGTAATCCAACATGTCAGTGAGAAAAGTGGGCTACAAATTAGGTAAAGCAAATAAAAGATTCATGGAATCAGATATGGGCTAGCTTATGGATCAGTTACTGGAGCTGCTTACGTTATTACCAGCTGAAGTCTGTCTGTGTGTCCTTTCAAAAGGGGGAAACCCTGGGAGACTGGACGACAGCACCCTGCCTGAGAACCCTAAGTTAAGCAGACAAATTATGTCTCAACAGTCACCACTACAACTGAAACCCCATAACTTAAGAAGTGATGGAATAAAAGTACCTTCGCTAGGCTAAATGCAGCTCAAAGGAACAATAAAACATTCCTTATGGCGCATCCTTCAAAGAGCTCACACAGCAGTGAACTCACTCATTTAGCGACTGATCTGTTTGAGAAGCCTGGAGACAGATTATCGAGGAGCTCTATATTTAGAGTCTCATTATCTCCAAACGATATGATAAACCAAATGAAGCTTTACACAAAATGGTGAGCATCTGAGCGGCCTGTTCTATTATCAGAAGATTGATGATCAGCCTGATCTAAAAATAGCTTGTTGGTTTTCACCATTCTATACTGAGTGTCAAGTACCAGCCCACTCAGGGCCTGCATAGGTACACCTGAGGTACACCTGAATGTAGGAGCGAACAGCCCTCACCCCACCAGTTAGATGCCCCTGGGAGCTTCCAAACAGGGCATAATTGCAATGGCCACTGCATTTGCCCCCAGCATTTGAGAATCCAAGATACACTGACCATCAGCATGGAAAATTTGTTCCAGATTTGGGTCTTTGGTAAATGTATCTGCCATGAATGGGTCCAATCAGTGACTATCAGAGCTAAAGACTTCCTTAAGTTCATTAGGCATTTTGTGAAGCAGCATTTCCCTGCACCTACTACCAAATCATCTTTACTGGAGGACCAAATTCTAATTTTTTGGGGAAACATTTGTCTCTCTCCCAGCAACATCTGAACTTCTATCCCATTCCATCCCCCTCTCTGGAACTTCAAAAACCTAACCCCACCACTTCCTGTTCTCTTTCAGGTTCCCTAC